CCAATGTCCTTCTGCTACCTTAATACTAAACCTATAAATATAGGCACATAGATCTATTTCCCCATCCTCATATATAAATATATTTGCATATGTATCTAGACCTCTATAAATGCCCTTTGCCTCCCAGGTCTTTCCTCTCTTTCCTTTTATTTTCCTCCTGTCCCACTATCATGCTCAGTCCCCACCAGGGTTTCAGCAATTCCTCTTTGTTACATAACCCTTGATCATGCCCTCCCAGGCCTCCCACACTCACCTCACCACCAATTTGGATCACTTGTTGTCCCCTTGTCCCTGGGTTTGTTAACACCACTTAACAGGAACAATTCTGTTGGCAGCGAGTGGAGTACAAAAATTTAGGGAACTGAAGATAAAGTTGATGCCATACATATTTTCTAAATGAGAGCTCCATATTGGTATTAGGACCATGTTTATTATTAACGACAATGCCAAGAAGATTGCATATGGTGGAAACTTGCATTAACACTCGTCGTTATGCTAAGGATATATCTTACCGTGCACATTCAGTGGAACTTGGGTTGTCTCCTCCATTGTTGGGGTTCAAGAAGGTAATTAAGAGTTTCTGAATTACAACCTGGTCCTAAATAGCATGCCTGCTCCTGGCCATCACCGATACAGAAATATGACAGATTCTAAATCATTTTGCTAACAACTTGACTATAGATTCAGACCAGAGATGAAATTAGGTGGTAGACTGTGTTTACAACGACCTCCGGCTATTCTCCGAGGAGTCACACAGGAGTATCATTTTGACATTGAAACAAAACCTTCCCATTTCTGAAAAAATGTGCTAGTGACTGTCCCAAGTTAGAAACATAGGTTCCCTACTTAACCTGCAGAGACCTTAGCCCATTCATAAGCTGAGCATTTGCAGGGCCGGCTGAGATGTTAATGTAAGGCAGGGGTGTCAAGCTAGCAGCCCGCAGGCCACATGCAGCCCCCAAGGTAATTTTTTTGTGACCCATGATGCTCTGAAATAAAATGAAAATATAAAAAATTGTTATGAAGAAAATAGCACTTAGGGGCGATTGAAGCAATTCTGTACACACAATTCCCTCATTAACCCTTTAACTACTGAAGATGAGTCTACACGTGGCCCAGTGCCTTTCCTGGGGGCCTGTGGACGTCTATAAACGCGCAGACTCAGTTCTGGGCACATTTGGAAGCGATCTGTCTGCCACTCTCAGTGTCACGTCATGTAACCTGATCCCAATAGTGAAGAGGTGAGAAAGAGCACTCTGGGTGGTGCTGTGATGAGTCATACCTAGCGGCAGTGCTAGTTCACATTTTTAGAGGGAAGCCATTACGATTGTGCATCGCGTTTGTCAGCTGTCCAACATGTTGTGTTTTTTATTAGTTATCTTGTGTATTTTCCAGTCACAACATACGAGGTAAGTGAAAACTAGTAGGAGGAAAGTGCTGGCCAGTTTTGGTTAAAAAGGAATAATTTTAGTTTTATAAATACATTAAATAACATAAATGTTTAAATAAAAGCAATTATATAGTGTTTTAATTATCCTATCCATATTCCTGAATCCTCACTTCAAAATATAAATTTAACAAAATTTCTAAATGTGATGTGGCCCGTGTGAATCTTGCCTGTTGCACCAAATGGCCCGAGTTTTAATTGAGGTTGACACCCCTGGAGTAAGGGAATCCGTTCCTTCTTCCCACAGCACGGTTCAGGTAGTTCTTTCCCAAGCATAGCTCCCCTGCTTGGAAACCAGTGGCCACCTTCCGAGGAAAGAAAATGCTGACATTTCTTTAGATTGACATTCAAAACCACCTATCATTGTCCTTGCTTAGTTTCATATATAATAGGATATTAATTCAGCAAACATTTATTGAGGTACAACTGTGTACTTTTCTGGGCCTTGCTCTGTGGTAAGATGGCATTACTTTCAGGTCCCTAAATCGATGCAGGGGTTTTCTGCATTCTCTCTCTCTCTCTACAGCACCCCCCATCTTCCACTACTGACAAAACCTTGCTGGTCCTCACAGCACAGATTTGGTACTGTGCCTGGAAAATGGTAGGCTCTCAGAGATAATGTTTCCCAAACCAAACTCATTGCCATTGAGTCAACTCGGATTCACAGTGATCCTATAGGACTATAGTAAAAATGCCCTTGTAGGCTTCCACGGCTGTAACTCTTTATGGGAGTAGAAAGCCTCATCTTCCTTCTGAAGAAGGGCTGGTGGTTTCAAACCACCGATCTTGGGATTAACAGTCAAATGAGTAACTGCTTATGCCACTAGAGCTCCTTAGATGATGGTTAAACCAACACCAAACTCATTGCCATTGAGTCGAGGCTGACTCAGAGTGACCCTACAACACAGGTAGAACTGCCCCTGTGTGTTTCGGAGACTGTAATTCTTAACAGGGGTAGAACACCCTGTCTTTCTCCCGAAGAGTGGCTGGTGGACTCAAACTGGTGACCTTGCAGTTAGGAGCCCAATGCATAACCAGTATGCCACCAGGGCTCCTCAGATGATGGTTAAGGGAGTCTAAGTCAAAGGGAAACAGCTCTGGACATGCAATGAGTAAGTGCTGGCCTGTTACCCCAAAGGGGGCAGTTTGAACCCACCCAGTGGCTCCTTAGGAGAAAAAATCTGGTGAACTGGCCCCATAAAGATTACAGCCAGGAAACATGATGGGGCAGTACTACCCTATCATGTAGGGTCAGTTCATGTCAGAATGGCCATGAGATGTGGGTTCTAGTGTGAGGCACCTGAGTATGGATACTGGCCAGCTTAGGGAAAAGTGGATCTGTCAGAAGGATGCTTGGGGATCCACTGCACAGAAACATTGGAGTGTCCTTGTTATCTATCCTCTGGAAAGGCAGGAACAAGATGGCAGGGCTTGAGAACCCTCTGAGTGCTGCCCAGAACATAAGATCAGAGAAAGACTC